CATCGTTTGCACTGGTCGCCCCCAGGCGCGTGGCCGAGCGACCGAGGGGCGGCCAACGAGCCTGGGGCGACCAACGCAAACGATGAACAAACGAAATCAAGAAAAACAATCAAAACCAGCCTGGGCACGGGCCAGCCGAGGGGCCGAGAGACCGAGGGACGGCCGACGAGCCTGGGGCGACCAGTGCAACAGATGGATGGACACGCGAAAACAAGACAACACCACCAAACCCAGCCTGGGAACGGGCCAGCTTAGAGGCCGAGCAGCGGAGGGGTGGCCGACGGGATCGGGGCGACCAGTGCAACCGATGGAGAAACGGAAACAACCCAAAACAACCAACGCCAGCCTGGGAACCAAAGGCGGCCGACGAGCCTGGGGCCAGCCGAGGGACCTGTGGCCGCCAGCGAAACCGATGGACAAACGAAAGCAAGCCAAAACGACCAAACCTAGCCCGGGAACGGGTCAGCCGAGGGGCCGAGCGACCGACGGGCAGCCGACGAGCCTGGGTCGACCAGCGCAACCGATGGACAAGCGAAATCAAACCAAACCTATCAAAACCAGCCTGGGAACTGGCCGGCCGAGGGGCCGCGCGACCGAGGAGCGGCCAACGAGCCTGGGGCGACCGGCGCAACCGATGGACAAGCGGAAATAATCCAAAACAACCGAAACCAACCTGAGAACTGGCCAGCCGAGGGACCGAGGGGCGGCCGACGAGCCTGTGGCCGCCAGCGAAACCGATGGACAAACGAAAACAAGCCAAAACGACCAAACCTAGCCCGGGAACGGGTCAGCCGAGGGGCCGAGCGACCGACGGGCAGCCGACGAGCCTGGGTCGAACCAGCGCAAACCGATGGACAAGCGAAATCAAGCAAACCTATCAAAACCAGCCTGGAATGGCCGGCCGAGGGGCCGCGCGACCGAGGAGCGGCCAACGAGCCTGGGGCGACCGGCGCAACCGATGGACAAGCGGAAACAATCCCAAACAACCGAAACCAACCTGGGAACGGGCCAGCCGAGGGGCCGAGCGGCCGAGGGGCGGCCGACGGGCCCGGGGCAACCAGCGCAACCGATGGACACGAGAAGACAAGCCAAAACAACCAACACCAGACTGATAACAGGCCAGCCGAGACCCCGAGCGGCCGAGGGGCGGCCGACGAGCCTGGGGCGAACAATGCAACCGACGGACAAGCGGAAAGAAGCCAAAACAACCAAAACCAGCATGGGAACGGGCCAGCCGAGGGGCCGAGAGACAGAGGGGCGGCCGACGAGCCTGTGGCCACCAGTGCAACCGATGGACAAACGAAATCAAGCTAACACACTCAAACCTAAGGCCAGCCGAGGGGCCAAGCGGCCGAGGCGCGGCCGACGAGCCTGGCCGGGGAGACCAGAGCAACCGATGGACAAGCGGAAACAAGCGAAAAAACCAAACCCAAACTGGGAACGGGCCAGCCGAGGGGCCGAGCGGCCGAGGGGCGGCCGACGAGCCTGAGGCGACATGGACAAGCGAAAGCAAGCCCAAACAGCCAAAACCAGCCCGAGAACGGGCCGGTCGACCGACGAGCCTGGGGAGACCAGCGCAACCGATGGACAAGCGAAAACAAACCCAAACAAGCAAAACCAGCCTGGGAACTGGCCAGCCGAGGGACCGAGGGGCGGCCGACGAGCCTGTGGCCGCCAGCGAAACCGATGGACAAACGAAAACAAGCCAAAACGACCAAACCTAGCCCGGGAACAGGTCAGCCGAGGGGCCGAGCGACCGACGGGCAGCCGACGAGCCTGGGTCGACCAGCGCAACCGATGGACAAGCGAAATCAAGCCAAACCTATCAAAACCAGCCTGGGAACTGGCCGGCCGAGGGGCCGCGCGACCGAGGAGCGGCCAACGAGCCTGGGGCGACCGGCGCAACCGATGGACAAGCGGAAACAATCCCAAACAACCGAAACCAACCTGGGAACGGGCCAGCCGAGGGGCCGAGCGGCCGAGGGGCGGCCGACGGGCCCGGGGCAACCAGCGCAACCGATGGACACGAGAAGACAAGCCAAAACAACCAACACCAGACTGATAACAGGCCAGCCGAGACCCCGAGCGGCCGAGGGGCGGCCGACGAGCCTGGGGCGAACAATGCAACCGACGGACAAGCGGAAAGAAGCCAAAACAACCAAAACCAACATGGGAACGGGCCAGCCGAGGGGCCGAGAGACAGAGGGGCGGCCGACGAGCCTGTGGCCACCAGTGCAACCGATGGACAAACGAAATCAAGCTAAAACACTCAAACCTAAGGCCAGCCGAGGGGCCGAGCGGCCGAGGGGCGGCCGACGAGCCTGGCCGGGGAGACCAGAGCAACCGATGGACAAGCGGAAACAAGCGAAAAAACCAAACCCACACTGGGAACGGGCCAGCCGAGGGGCCGAGCGGCCGAGGGGCGGCCGACGAGCCTGAGGCGACATGGACAAGCGAAAACAAGCCCAAACAGCCAAAACCAGCCCGAGAACGGGCCGGTCGACCGACGAGCCTGGGGAGACCAGCGCAACCGATGGACAAGCGAAAACAAACCCAAACAAGCAAAACCAGCCTGGGAACTGGCCAGCCGAGGGACCGAGGGGCCGACGAGCCTGTGGCCGCCAGCGAAACCGATGGACAAACGAAAACAAGCCAAAACGACCAAACCTAGCCCGGGAACGGGTCAGCCGAGGGGCCGAGCGACCGACGGGCAGCCGACGAGCCTGGGTCGACCAGCGCAACCGATGGACAAGCGAAATCAAGCCAAACCTAACAAAACCAGCCTGGGAACTGGCCGGCCGAGGGGCCGCGCGACCGAGGGCGGCCCGCGGCGACCGATGGACAAGCGGAAACAATCCCAAACAACCGAAACCAACCTGGGAACGGGCCAGCCGAGGGGCCGAGCGGCCGAGGGGCGGCCGACGGGCCCGGGGCAACCAGCGCAACCGATGGACACGAGAAGACAAGCCAAAACAACCAACACCAGACTGATAACAGGCCAGCCGAGACCCCGAGCGGCCGAGGGGCGGCCGACGAGCCTGGGGCGAACAATGCAACCGACGGACAAGCGGAAAGAAGCCAAAACAACCAAAACCAGCATGGGAACGGGCCAGCCGAGGGGCCGAGAGACAGAGGGGCGGCCGACGAGCCTGTGGCCACCAGTGCAACCGATGGACAAACGAAATCAAGCTAAAACACTCAAACCTAAGGCCAGCCGAGGGGCCGAGCGGCCGAGGGGCGGCCGACGAGCCTGGCCGGGGAGACCAGAGCAACCGATGGACAAGCGGAAACAAGCGAAAAAACCAAACCCACACTGGGAACGGGCCAGCCGAGGGGCCGAGCGGCCGAGGGGCGGCCGACGAGCCTGAGGCGACATGGACAAGCGAAAACAAGCCCAAACAGCCAAAACCAGCCCGAGAACGGGCCGGTCGACCGACGAGCCTGGGGAGACCAGCGCAACCGATGGACAAGCGAAAACAAACCCAAACAAGCAAAACCAGCCTGGGAACTGGCCAGCCGAGGGACCGAGGGGCCGACGAGCCTGTGGCCGCCAGCGAAACCGATGGACAAACGAAAACAAGCCAAAACGACCAAACCTAGCCCGGGAACGGGTCAGCCGAGGGGCCGAGCGACCGACGGGCAGCCGACGAGCCTGGGTCGACCAGCGCAACCGATGGACAAGCGAAATCAAGCCAAACCTAACAAAACCAGCCTGGGAACTGGCCGGCCGAGGGGCCGCGCGACCGAGGAGCGGCCAACGAGCCTGGGGCGACCGGCGCAACCGATGGACAAGCGGAAACAATCCCAAACAACCGAAACCAACCTGGGAACGGGCCAGCCGAGGGGCCGAGCGGCCGAGGGGCGGCCGACGGGCCCGGGGCAACCAGCGCAACCGATGGACACGAGAAGACAAGCCAAAACAACCAACACCAGACTGATAACAGGCCAGCCGAGACCCCGAGCGGCCGAGGGGCGGCCGACGAGCCTGGGGCGAACAATGCAACCGACGGACAAGCGGAAACAAGCCAAAACAACCAAAACCAGCATGGGAACGGGCCAGCCGAGGGGCCGAGAGACAGAGGGGCGGCCGACGAGCCTGTGGCCACCAGTGCAACCGATGGACAAACGAAATCAAGCTAAAACACTCAAAGCTAAGGCCAGCCGAGGGGCCGAGCGGCCGAGGGGCGGCCGACGAGCCTGGCCGGGGAGACCAGAGCAACCGAGGGACAAGCGGAAACAAACCAAAACAATAAAAACTAGCCTGGGGACGGGCCGACCGAGGGGCCGAGCGACCGAGAGGCGCCCGACGGGCCTGCTGCGACCAGCGCGATCGCTGATCGCGAAAACAAGCCAAAACAACCAAAACCAGCCAGGGAACGGGCCGCATGGGCCACCCGAGGGCCGAACGACCGAGGGGCGGCCAACGAGCCCAAGGCAACCGACGGAAAAACGAAAACAAACCAAAACAACCCAAACCGGCCAGACAAGCAAAAACAACCGACGGACAAACGAAAGCCACCAGAAACAAGCCAAACAACCAAACCCTAGAAGTAGATTCGGTTTGCGCACGCCCCAAAAAAACATCCCACAATAGCCGTTCTTGAAATAGGAAGGCGCGTAAAGTTTTGTAGGGATCAAGAAAAAAACATAGTTTCAACGACCAATGAGTAATGACCTAAGGAACATCGAGCCCCTTTCGTACCCAAACAGTTCCTTGTTTCAACGTCTTGACTGTACGCGGGCGTTTTCTTATTCGGCGTTGCGACATTGGGCGGAACGGAGGAGGGAGGGGGTGCTCTGGCTCCAGACCTCTGCTTCGTGCGACTGTTTGCAGCTTGCAGCAGTGCGTCCCATGGGGGAGACTCCAACTGCTCGAAACAGGCGCCAAAAACAGCCAAGATGTTCTCAATTGGGGGGAGGGGGGAGGGCGGGTGCGAGGGCCCGCGCCGATCGGCAGAACAATGAATAAGTAAACGACGTCTTGACTGTTTGATCTGTATTGGTTCAAACCCTCATGGCCGAGCTGCGACGGAAGAGCCCAACTCAGCTAACAGGCGCAACAGCGCGGCGGCCCGTCTGCCGCGAGGATCCTGGCTCGGCGCCCCCCCCCAACCGCTCGTAGCACTAGGATTCGCGATGAGGATGCAAGGGCCTTGGATGCCCATTTCGAAGCTTCTCGAGCGAGGCGCGGCCAACGAAAGTGGCCAAGGATGCACCGAGGAGGCAAGGATGCAAGGTTATCCTTGGGAAGGTTGCTCATCCTTACTATGCGGGTTGACTGTACTCCCCCTCGGCCGTGCCAAGACGAAGCCAAGACTGGGGCGAAGCCGAATCGGGACAAACAGGGGGGGGTCCCCCTTGGCGGCTTTGTTCCCAACCATCCTGTGGTGTTGGGTCCTCGTTTTGAAGAGACACGCCCCGCGTCACTCACTCCTCCTCGCCCCCCCCTCCTCCACCGCCCGCATGCGTCACCCAAACCCACTTCGGCACACCCCTCCCACGTTTCGTGGCCCCATAGGGAGCTCCACCGAAGGCCCCAGTGCCACCGCCCGCATGCGTCACTCACACCCATGCCGGCACACCCCTCAGGCCCCAGTGCCACCGCCCGCATGCGTCACTCATGCCCATTCCGGCACACCCCTCACGCGTTTCGTGGCCGCATAAGGGAGCTCTACTGCAGTGCCACCGCCCGCATGCGTCACCCACACCCATTTCGGCACACCCCTCACACGCTTCGTGGCCCCATAGGGAGCTCCACCGAAGGCCCCAATGCCACCGCCCGCATGCGTCACCCACACCCATGTCGGCACACCCCCTAGGCCCCAGTGCCACCGCCCGCATGCGTCACTCATGCCCATTCCGGCACACCCCTCACGCGTTTCGTGGCCGCATAAGGGAGCTCTACCGCAGGCCACAGTGCCACCGCCCGCATGCGTCGCCCACACCCATTTCGGCACACCCCTCACACGCTTCGTGGCCCCCAGAGGGAGCTCCACCGAAGGCCCCAGTGCCACCGCTCACATGCGTCACTCACACCCATGCCGGCACACCCCTCACACGTTTCGTGGCCCCGTAGGGCGCCCCACCGAAGGCCCCAGTGCCACGGTCCGTATGCGTCACTAGCACCCATTCCGGCACACCCCTCACACGCTTCGTGGCCCCACAGGGAGCTCCACCGAAGGCCCCAGTGCCACCGCCCGCATGCGTCACCCACACCCATTGCGGCACACCTCTCACGCGTTTCGTGGCCCCACAAGGGAGCTCCACCGAAGGCCCCAGTGCCACGGCCCACATGCGTCACCCGCACCCATTTCGGCACACCCCTCACACGTTTCGTGGCCCCATAAGGCGCTCCACCGAAGGCCCCAGTGCCACCGCCCACATGCGTCACCCACACCCATCTCGGCACACCCCTCACACGTTTTGTGGCCCCACAGTTATCTCCACCGAAGGCCCCAGGGCCACCGCCCGTATGCGTCACCAAACACCCATCTCGGCACACCCCTCACGCGTTGCGTGGCCCCATAGAGAGCTCCAACGAAGGCCCCGGTGCCGCCGCCCGCATGCGTCACCCACGCACATTACGGCACACCCCTCATGCGCTTCGTGGCCCCATAGGGAACTCGGCATTCCCATCACAGGTTTCGCGGCCCCACAGGAAGCTCCACCGACAGCCCAGTGAATGCGTTCGCATGCGCCCACCGCACCTATTTCGGCACACCTCTCACGCGCTTCGTGGCCCCATAGGGAATTCCACCGACGGCCCCAGTGGCTGCTTTCGGACGCGCCCACCGGACAAATTTCGTGACACCCCTCACACGTTTCGTGGCCCCATCAGGAGCTCCTCCGAATGCCGTGCATACAACGACGGTACTCACAACTGCATATGGTTGGGTCCTTCGCTAAGCTATTGTTTCCCCCCTAGAGGGGGTCGCGGCTTTCATTGCTTCCCTCGGCGGTGTGTTTTTTCCCCCCCTCGAGGCTTCTTTTTTCGTCGAAACTTTTTTTCTCCCTCGGAGGGGGACAATGGGCCACAAATAGGGGATCTCTGAGATCCGGCGGTTCTGGAGGACGTATCGAGCGTCGTAGCCGCTCCAGACGCTCGGGAACGCTCTGAGAGCGCTCTGGAACGACTTCTCTTGGAACTGGGCTCACCGCACATGCTCCCCCCTCCCCGCTCCCCACGGATCCGCGCGCTTCTAGCCGCAGCTCGGGGGCGGCTTCGGCTTCCCTCCCGCGGCGGCGTGCGTCGGACCCCCCCGATGCGCCTCCAGCGGGCCCTGCTGCTGGGCGCCGAGCCCTTGCCGCTGGCAAAGGTTGACGTCGTCGGCCGAGTCCCACGTGGCACCCGCGTCGCCCTCGCTCTTGCAGTCTGTAGGAGAAGAAACAACGCCATAAGCGTAAACTTGTGGCGTTCCGCGTGGATTTCTTGGATCTGCGCTGGACCCCATTCCCTGGCGCGCGGAGCGCGCCAGGGGGGGCCCAGCGCGGATCCAAGAAATCCGTGCGGGGCGCCAAAAGTTTATGTTGATGGCGTGTTTTCTTCTTCGCGTCTGGCTTCGCGACCCGCTGCTCGCAGTGCACACATTCGGCCCTGCTCGGCCGCGCCCTGCGCTTGGCCGCGTGCGGCAGGTGGCAGAACCTGCAGGTGCGGCCGTTCGCACAGCCCACCTCCGTCCCGAGGAAGAGGCAGGGCCTGCAGGTCCCGGCGGCGTGCTGGGCCTCGCTGGCCTTGAGCATCGTTTAGCCGATCCCCATCCCCAGCGGCGTGGCCTGGGCCCAACTGGCCGATTTACCCCCCTAGATGGGATATGGGCTGTCCCCTTCTGGTTTCGAGGGGTGTATCCCCAGCTGGGGTGGTAATTTGGTGGGGGTCTCGAAGGGGATGAGAATGGGGATGGGGGTCGGTTAAACGATACTGAGGCCTTCAACCATTCTGCCTCCTGCTGCTCGTCGACCTCGCTCTCCTCTGCACACCGAGGGCTGTGGTTCTCGGAGTGGGAGCTGCTCGACGCCGAGCCGCCGCTGCCGTCGTGCTCGCTGCAACCGCTGAACCGCCGGCTGCTGCCACGGAGGTCCGACAAGGACCAATAGCTGCCTGATGCGCAGGGAACATCTTCTGGGAACGATCCGTGAGTGGTGTCGCTCCCACTGGCGCTCCCGACTTGATCGTCGTCCACTCGCGCAGGCCTCCCTGGTGCACTGTCGCACGCATTCTGGAACGCGTCCACCCGCGGGAGGCATCCCCCAGCGGCGCTCCCAAGATTACCGTCGCTGTTGCTGCGGCCGAGTCCAGGCCCGACGCTCACCAACTTCAACAAACGATCATTGACGACCAGTCTTGCTCCGTCAGCCTGGCGTGTGCCCTTCATGCCGTTGCCGCGGCCGCTGCGCATGAGACTGATTGTCGTGCCAAGATGCTTGAGCCACGAGCGCTCCCAGCCTGCCACGAGTGCGACCCGTGAGCCCGATCATATTACAACGATCTATCTGGACGGTGAACACGCGACGATGCAAGTTGGTAAGGCTTCGGGTTGCGCAAAGAAAGCCCTCCCAGGTGGTTCCGGCTGGCCTCAACAGGCCCCCCGAGGTGTCAGTCCCTCTTGGCCTCAACAAGCCCCCCCGATTAGTCCGGGGCGGACTCGGGTGGCACCGGGGTGTTGAGACCGTTCTAAACTACTCGGGGGCATGTTGAGTCCAGCTGGGACTACTCGGGGGCCTGTTGAGGCCAGCTGGGACTACCTGGGTGGGCTGCCTGTGCACAGCCTGAAGCCTTACCACGCGCGACGATGCAATTTTGTTCAGTGTCAGGCTAGCGGTTCGTTCCCTATGGACTCGACTGAGCCGCCTTGACTGTTGATGAAGTGCGGACTGGCCTGGCCTGGCCTGGCGCCGGCTTTCTCCGCCTCGTTGCGGTTCTCATGGGCCGTTTGGGTGCCTTACGGGGCGCTCTTGGGAGCATCCTGGGAGCCCCTCGGGAACCTCTTGGGCGCCTCTTGGGCGTCTCTGCGGGGCCCCTTTGGGAGGCCCTTTTTGGGGCCTTATGGGGCCTAAACGAATCAGACTTGAGCTTCTGCAGGAACCCCTTCTGAAGTGAACAAAACATATGCTCTTGGACCCCTGGGAGAAGACTGATAGGACAAGAGCGGGAATCGCCAATTTTGTCAGTTGGGCTCGCATGGGGAAAAAGGCGAAAGGATCATTGGGATGATGAACCGGCGGATGACGAAGATGACAGCGTCGATGACGGGGAGGGCGGCGAGGAAGCAGGAGGACAACGAGTAGGAAGGCACGCGCGGGGACCAGGAGGGAAATATGGAAGAAGACACGTGCCGGGGGGAACGGAGCGGAGGACGAGGACGAGGACGAGGACGAGGATGAGGATGAGGAGGAGGAAGAGGAGGAGGAGGAGGAGGAGGAGGAGGAGGAGGAGGAGGAGGTATCGGCATCGCTCCTCTGAGTCCAAGGGCCGGATGGACTTGGGAGAAGTTTGGGGACCCCCACTCACATCAAGCCCTCGGCTCTCCACCACTGGAGGGCGCCAGCGACGGTGCCCGTCGGCAGACGCCGGCGCACGGCCGAACTCCTGAGGCTGCTGCGCACTCAAGGAGCAATCAACCCTGGCCCCTCGAGCTCAAGGTAGCCCGCAGCAATCGGGCCAGTGAAGACAGTGGCCTCTTCTCTCAAAGAGTTTTTTATTAAAAAAATGAGGAGGCACCACCACATCGAGTTCGAGCGCGCCGAGCGGGGAAAAATAAAGGCCAGGACAGAAGGGAAAGTCGAGTACGCGCAACTCGTCGATGAAACAAAAACCAGAGGACGACGGAGGCCGACTGGCAAGTAAAATGTCAAACGAATTACCGAAGGCGAAGCCAGAAGCAGGCTTCGTCCGAGACCAGAAGCGGGCGAGGCTCGCCCCTCCACCCCCCCGAGATAGGATCTTTCCCCATCTCGAGGGCTTTGAGATAAGTAGCGTCGTTACTGGATGCAAACCCTTGGCGCTCACCCCACAGGCGGGACCGAGGAGCCGACGGCTGGCAACGGGCACAACAGCAACGGCAAAATGCAAGAAAACCTTCAGCAAGGAGAATGACGTGTCCACGGGCGCTACGAGACTCAACAGGGCCCTGAGCGGCGAGGGGGCGATCGGGGGGTTTGGCATCACGGACAACCCAGGACGCCCCCGCCCGCGGGCCCCCAAAGGCCCTAGCTCTCTTGGGGGGCGGAGGCCCCCCCGAGCCGCCCAGGGGACCCTGCTCGCCAGCAGGGGCGGGGGGGGCGCGCACAGCCAGACGAGGCGCCTTCGGGCGCGGGCCCCCAGGGGCCTCTTCAGAGCCTCTCCCCCTACTAGTCCCCTCGCTCCTGGTGAGACGTGGGGATAGCGGGGAGGGGTCAGGACCGACCTGGACACGGGGGGCTTCCTGGGCCAGGAGACACGGGGCCTTGGTGGGCCACCCCGCACACGCGTCAGCGAGGTCGAGATCCCGACGCTCCTCCTCCGTTTGAAACCTCACCCGTTTAAACGCCAGGAGCCGCTCAGGGCCCTCTACTGCCGAAGGCTGGAGCTCATCGTCATCCACTTCCAGCAGGCCCACAGGGCCCAGGCGGGCGCCGTCGGCGCCCGAAGGGTCCACAGGACCCCCAGGGGACGGGGTCGAGACTCCAGGCGGCCCGACAAAACCGTCACCCGCGGCGTCACCCGACGTTGAGCTCGAGGCCCAAAGGGCCGCAGCCCCGGCAACTCTACACATGCGGAGCCTCAGGGCCCTCGCACCTTTGGCAGATAAGGCATAGGCGGGGCAGCGGTCACAGGCCCACTTTTGTCCACGCCTCCGCACGAGGCGCGGGAACTCCACCGCCGTAGGCGGCGGCGGCGCCCCCGTCCACTGGCCGCCCTCGGTCGCAGCTCGCCTCGCCCCAGCCGCATCCTGCTCCTGGGCCCAGCGCTGGCGTAGCGCCAGGGGTCGCCGCCTCGGGATCTCCGCGCGGTCGGGCGGCACGGCGCCGTCGAAGGTGACCATGGAGACGTTGGCGATCCAGGAGGCGACTTGCCTCACTCTTGCCAGGGCCTGCGTGTGCCTGTCCACAGAATCTCGGGGAAGGTCGTGAAGGCGACGTCCCCTCTTGGCCGCTTGATCTGCCAGGTCGTTGCACCGCCTCTCCCAGGTGTCCTCCTTCGAATGGCCCTTGACGCAGGTGGCGCGGACAGGGGGCAGGGTACAGGTGTCAGGCACATGGAGACATCCGCTCCTCAATGCGATGCCAGATCTGCCTCCACAGGTCCACGTTGTCACGCCGAGGACTGCAGCGCCATCGCCGCCCACGGGGCAATCCGTCGAGCAAGGGTCAGTAGTCCGTGTGGATGTGGATCGGGGCGATTCCAATCGTGAGAACCTGCAGCACCGCATGCAGTTCGGCACGTGCCGAAGTCTGGCGGGGGCCTGGCAAAGCACCAAACATAGCTCCCGAATAGGTAGCATCTCCCACGACCACGAAACCCCAACCAGCCCGTGCTGCAATATCCCAACGCAATAGCTTCTTTCATGAGCCATCCGTGAAAATGCACCCCGTGACGACAAGGGGCTCAGCACGTGCTCCGCGATCGTAGTGCCAAGCACCAGCGTCGCACCTCGGGGGCAGCGCAGGCTGGAAAGAGTTGGGGAACAGGCCCCTGGAGTAGAGCAAATCCCCTGGGACCGTGGCCAGGGCAGCATTCAGCGTATCTTCATCCACGGCTCGCTCTCGCATGTCGTCCACGGTTGAACAGCACCAGTAGCGATGATGAAGAGTGCCCAGGGTGCCCCAGCAACTAAGACAGTGTGGGTTCGTGGCGTAGGCGTACTGGTATAATCTCTGCTGCGAGAAATGACCACCCAGCACCGCCGTGCGAAGAGCAGCTCTCGCCAGGGGATCCAGAACCCACTTCTTGGCCTTCGCCCCAGCCTGCAATAGCCCACGTATGGGTGCTAGCCAGATGCCTGCAGGATCCTTGTGACGCGGTGCAGGTATCTCAGGCATGACGTCTGGCCGCTGTGCCCACTGCTCCCAACCAACCACCTCGTAGCCCAGCAAAGCGAGCCACCTAACGACGCAGGGAGCGGTAGCCCGTAGGTCAAGCACTTCCCCAATGCGAGTCTGGACGCTGTAGCACGAGGAGCACTTCCATCCGAGGTGTAGCACCGACCGCGGGATGGCACCAGCGGGTCCTTTGACGAGCTTCCAATTCGTGGGGGCGGGTGCTGACGCAATCTGAAAGTACTGCGTCCTCCAGGCGACCTGCATGTCGTCCATAGAGCATTCAGCAGGCTGCATCATGAGCGCCCAGTTGTAGATCGGGCCGACCACAGCGACGCACCCTGGGTGCTGCGATGGGGAGCGGCCCAGCCGAGCTGCAATCCAACGCGAGCCACCATTCGGTATCGCATCCCACCCCTGCTCCACCATTGCGGTAATCCTGCGCAGTGCATGCGGGGCAGCGCCTAAGATGTCCTAACCGTAGGTGACGGCGGGGCCGACTGCTGCCCGAGCAACCTTCTTGACCTTGGCCCCGAGCGGCCGCAAGCGCTTGAAGTGTCGAGCCCTCTTGCCTACGTTGCGCATGCGCCTCCTCAGCACATGCCCATGGCACGGCTTGCCTGCGCCAGCTTCCAAGCCCAACACTTCGAGCCAAAGCTGCTGACGGAATCCGTACTTCTTCAGTCGCGCTGCCACCAAAGTCGGTATCTGCTCGTCGGAGCCTGCAAGCAAAGCCTTAGACTTCGCAATAGGTAGGCCCAAGTCCGTCAAGGAGTCACAAAGCAGCTTGATCACGTCAACGGACACCTGCTGGAGAGGCTTTAGCTGCGATCTGCAGGGTGAGGCCGTCGGCGACAATATCCAGCGATGACGAGAAGCCTGCATCACCATTGACTTGGAGGGGGTACACCGTGGCCACGAAGTCGTCCATGGCAGACAGCATGAGGAGCAGGACTAAGGCCATGGCGTACTTGCACCCAGGCAGCACGCCTTGATCCACCACGACCGAGTAAGATGTGGCCTGCAGCCACACCAGCCTCCGAGGCGCTCGGTACATGGCCAGCGCACACGATAGTAGCTGGCGAAGAAAGGCGTGCGTCTTGGTTGCTTGAATGAGCCGACGCCAGCAGATGCGATCAAAACACTTCTCGGTATCCACTATGACCGTGACGACGCCTTTGTCTGAGGCCAAGGCCGCTTCAGCGCGAAGAAAGGCACGAGCGGCAACATCTTGAGTCGTCTTGCCGACCGACAAGGCAAAGTAAGGCCGATCATGCTCGTGGAGCCACTGCCGAAGTTGGACGCTGCGTACATGCGTCCATACCCGATACACCGCCTGCAGGGGCGCAATGCGTCTCCAACCGCCCTTGGGCTTGGCCAGCATCACAATGTGGACGGCCATGAGCTGGGTCGGCCAGCGCCCCCAGCGCTCCGCCAGCCACATGATGTAGACGAGCAGGGCGAGGGTGGGCTCGCTGAGGAGGCCCGAGGACCTTGGGGCCAGCTTGTCCGCACCCTG